ATCGGTTCCCCCTTTCTACCCCACCCTCCTGGTCTCAAAATGTACTCTTGAATGGAGAGCCACTAAAACAAAGGAAAGGAAAGAGCTGAACAGAAATCTTAAAAGGGCAGCCTCTGAGGACGCGGTATGAGAGGTAAATGTGCAAAACCTGAAGTTAGAACACAAAAGGGAAGACTATCCTCAGCATTTCTCAAGCTGATGGAATTGAAACAAAACCTTAAGCCACAAAGTGCAATCTTGAAGATTTTTATGGAAAAATATTGAAAAACATAAGAAGCATCAAGAGAGATGTAAGGAAAGTACAGAGTCATTGTACCAAAAGGGTTTTGCCAGCATGGAGTCATTTCCAGAGGTAGCTTGTGTTTAAGAACCAATGGTCCTGAGGGACCATTGCAAGCTGCCCTGAAGGGAGGTGTGAAAAAAACAGGACCTGAAATGGACAGAATGCCAATCAACATGTATGGAAAATCTGCTGCTGTGCTGGGAGTACTCATTAGTCTATGCCAAGAAATTAGGAAAACAGCTGCTAAGTAACTGATTACTCCTATTGGAGTTCTCTCTTTCTGCTGGTTCCAACCAAAATATGACCCAAAAGACTGTAGGAATGGTCTGATAATACCAGTAAGATCACATGCATGTAAAATATTGCTGAAGGTAATTCAAAAAGAATCTACAGTGGCCAGAAATTTAAGTCATTTAAAAGAGGACGTGCCGGGATGGATATCATTCAGGTTCTTGACTGAACATAGAGAATACAAGGAAATGTTTACTTATGCTTTCTCGATTTTGTAACAGTATTCAACTGTGTGGATCAAATGAACTACGGATAGCATTTTAAAGAATGGGAATTCTAAAGCACTCCATTGGGCTCTTACAGAACCTTTGCATAGAGCAAGAGGCAATTGTTGGGACGGAACAAGGAGAGGCTGGATGGTTTGAAATCAGGAAAGGCATGAATCAGAATTAGCTTTAAAGTTAAAGGAAAGAGCAATTTGCCTTAAAAGAAAAACAACAGCTACATATGATTAATCCAGGACACAGGAAGATCAGTGAAACTAAATAGAAATCAGAAATTGACTCAATATTTTTAGATGCATAGAGCAGGAATGAAAGATTGCTGTTT